ATGGAAGTGAAATAAAAGAACATTGAAAGTAAAAGAAAGCTAGTTACTCTTGGAGGGTGACTTCCTCAACCAAAAGATGGAGGGTTGCTTCCTCAACCAACTAGTGGAGGGTTGCTTCCTCAACCAAGAAATGTAAGACAAGAAAATATAGCATACATCTAAGATTAATCAAAATGAGCGGGAGTCTAAGCCTCCATACAAGCTCGTTACTAGTTCTTGGTCTAGTCTAAGCCTACAAACCAAGCCCTAGCTCCTTACTTTTCAAGAGGAAGAATTCCCCCTTAAGCTCCCTTAATGGGAGTATTTATAGGCAAGGAGGGGGGAAAACAAGAAGATAAGAGAGGATGAGTGAATAATGTATGCCGCCCATGAAAACCAACTACTTTGCAGGTAGTTTGTGGAGGACGTTTGAAAGTGAATTGACGTTCGAACATTGTCTTCTGTTTTGTTTTAAGGGCGTTCGAACGCTAGATGGGATGTGACCACATCACTCAAGTGGTCGTGGTCTTCTATGGAAACCCACTTCCACACTCCATGTAGGGCTTGGAGTTTTGCACTTATCACTTTGATCTTTCTTTAAGTCATGTAGACGTTCAAACAATAGTTGACATTCGAACATGGAACTCTAGTACTTTAGGGTCCTCCTTCTTGATTACAACACGCCAGGTCTCAGCAGTCTGGTCTCCTCATAGTTTAAGTGGGCGTTCGAACGTGAGTTAACGTTCGAACGTGGTTGCTTTGTCCCAACCTTCTCCAATTATGTTCCCTAATACACTGGTATCACACTCAAGTATGATATTTGTTGTTCTTGAGCTTTTGTTTTGTAAATTCCCACACTTTTATTTTAATATGTAGCAAGTAAATATATGAAAAATTTTTTAATCGAACTTGTACCAACTATGTTTGATGTCCAAGTGTATGTTATATAAGTTTGGGTTGGTTTTGGAAGGGTTTGGAATGGATTAAAAAAATAAATAAAAGAAATAGGCAAAACTGAACAAATCGTACCAGTACTATGTACCGGTACGCCCGGAAGTTACCATACCGGTATGTTACTTTCCAGAGAGTTTACCGTACCGGTACGCAGTACCGGTATGTTCTGTAAGTTCTATAAATTTTAAGTCGTGATCTGAGGTCCATTTTTCACCCTATAAATATATAATGACGCCTCCATTAGCCCCATTTCAACATTTCTAACCCTAGGAAATATTAGAGAGGAAGAAATAGAGGAAAAAACACAAGATCAAAGGGGATTTGCACTTTGGATTGGATCAAAGCCCTAGTTTTTTTTTTTTCAAGAACACCAAGATAGGGGTTTTCTTCCATTCTTGTACATTGAGCCTAGGGCATTTATATGTATGTATGTTTTTACTCTCGATCTTAAGTATATACTATGAAATCCCTATCTCTTGATGCTTTTGTATTTATTATCATGTTTTAAACAAAGTTATAGTTATATAGCCATGAAATTTCTCCTCTTGACTTGAAAACCCTAGTTTTTGAGAAAAATGGATTTTTCTTCTTAATATTCCTTTGTTCTTGGTTTTTCAAACTCTAGTGCTTTGTTTTGAACAACAAAATAGTATTTGTGATGATCTCTTGCATATTTTCTTAAATTGTTCTATTGGAGAAGATACCTATGAAAATTTGGGAGTTTTTGATGTATGTAATTTGCGAAAATAGTTATTTTTGCATCTCTTGTATAGTTGTTGCGATGGACTTGAATTGTATTCGAGTATTGTTGTAGAGTGTTAGATGTTAGTTTATCCCAGTGGGGGGGGGGGGTGAGATGGTTGCCTAACACTTGTAGTAGATTGTTGTTTGTGAGAGCAATTATTATTGTTTACGTAAGTTCGAGGCCGAGGGATGGTATACCTTTCCGGGGAAGGATTTGTCAATGCCATGGGAGACGATATACACCCTTCCTAAAATATTTGGGATTGTGTGATTGTGATGGGAGAACGAGATAAAAGTCTTTGTGTAGATTCATGGGAAGCAACCAACATACATGAGAATATAGGATGAGGTTATTGTATAATTTATTGTTTTTCTTTAATCCTGACATGTTTATTCTTTTCAACTAACTTATTACCATTGCGTTAACTTGAGATCAAATAAACTGTCACTGTTTTACTTCAAGTTATATATGATAATTTAGAAAAAGAGACCGAACTGTTTTATATGATTTTTAAATCTTGTTCAAGTATGGGAGGATGTTGCTACAGAGCTTAGTGCTCACCCCCTACAACATCATATTTTTCAGATTTTGCCTTAGATGAAAAACTCAGAAGTGAAGAGCATGTACAATGGAAAGCTCCATTAGATGGGCACGTGGATCCCGAAGTGGATGTTTAGGGTTGTACTCCCCTATGTACTAGACTAGAGAATTTCTTTTGAGACTATGTAGAGTCTAACCTTTTGTTATTCCACTGCAAATTCAAATTTGATTCTTTTTGATGTAATTGCCTTAGTTAATCATATTCTTTTGGATACGATGGCTATGCTTTGGCATATTTTTTTGGATTAAGTTGTAAATGCTATGAATGATGATTGAAATTTTCTTTACTTATGGATTATATTAGTTGTTCTCATGATGTGAATGATTTTTAGATAGTAATGCCGTCCAAGGTGAATTTTGGGGTGTTACATGTTCACTTTAGGTCCTGAAATGTCATCACTTAAACTCTATCAAAGCATAATTAGTCCCAAAAAGGCATAAAAAAATGCTAACTTTAAGCACTAATTAGCTACCATTGCCTAGAAAGATTTATTTGGAACAACCCCTATCAAGATCCTACATGAACCAAGTATTTAGCTTGACGATGACCAAACCATGTCAGTCGATGAGTTCACCTTGTGGATGGACCCCATCCCAAGTGATAAGAAAGAAGTAGCAAAGTTGAAAAACATGGCCGCGAGGTTCACCATTATACAAGGTAAGTTGTGCAAGAGAGGTTTTTCCTTTCCACTAATGAAATATGTTTCTGAGATGGAGAAAAATTATATCTTGAGAGAAATCTACGAAGGCATCTGTGAAAACCACGTCGGAGCACGAACCTTGGCCAATAAGGCTCTCCGACAAGGATATTTCTGGCCCATAATGGCCAAAGACGCGAAAGAAATGGTGAAAAAGTGTCAAGCATGCCAGATTCACAGAAACCTACCACACTATCCCCCGGATCAACTCATTCCCCTCATCAGACCGTGGTTGTTTTAGTAGTGGGGCCTAGATATCCTGGGGTCCCTACCAGTTGGCGTCGGACAGTGTAAATTTGTCATAGTTTTTACTAAATGGACAGAAGCTGAAGCATTATCCAAAATAACTGAGCAGAAGGTCAAGAACTTCATTTGAAAATCGATAATTTGTCACTTCAGCATCCCCAGAGCAATAGTTTCAGATAATGGAAAGCAATTCAACAACTTATGATTCATGGGATTCTGTGCAGAGCTGGTAATCAAAAACTACTTCTCAGCACCTACGCACCCACAATCCAAAAACAGGCAGAGGTTACAATCAAAGCCATAAAGCTGACATTGAAGACAAGGTTGGAAGCCTCCAAGTTCCAATGGGTTGATCACCTTCCAGCGATGCTACAAGCATATTGAACAACGGTGTGAACAACAATAGGAGAAACCCCATTCAGCCTTACCTATAGAACTAAAGCCATGGCCCCAGTCGAAGTCGACTTGCCTTCAGCGAAGGCCGAACTCTTGGATCTCGAGCAGAATGAAAGGTCTCTGCTCGTCAACCTCGATCTTTTGGACGAGAAAATGGACGAGGTGCTACAATGAATATTTTCTTACCAAATGAGTACTTTAAGATATTATAACTAACGAGTAAAGAAGAGGAGCTTCAAACCAGGCGATTTGGTCCTCAAGAAATTGCTCCCAGTAAGCAACGACCCCTCCCACAGAAAACTTGGACCAAATTGGAAAGGACCATACATTGTGAAGAGGGTGGTCCGACCTGGTAACTACAAGCTATAGATCCAAGAAGGCAAAGACTTGTAGCATTCTTAGAATGCATACCATTTAAAGCAATATTACCAGTAGAACTATGGGAAGCTAGTTGTAGTAGAGGAGGAAAGAATGTAAATTTTTTGCTCTCAATCTAAGAAATTTTCGTAGTCTTAGCCAAGAAAGTTCACACATTATCCGAAGATTTCTCTAGCTCCCAAAAGTGATGAGAGTTCTTTTAGCTTGAAAGTCGCAAGTTGCTTCGTTGCGCAACCTCGACTAGGCTTTTTAGCTCGGAAACTGCTAGTTCCTCAACCGCGCGACCTCAACTAGGCTTTTTAGCTCAGAAGCTGCGAGCTCCTCAGTCACGCGACCTCAACTAAGGATTTTAGTCTAATAGATTTTTAGCTCCGAAGCTGTGAGCTTCTTAGCTGCGTGACCTTAACTAGGCTTTTCAGCCTAGGAGTTTTTTAGCTCGGAATCTGCAAACTCGTCAGGTGCGTGACCTCGACTAAGCTTTTTAGCCTAAGAGTTTTTTAGTTCGGATGACAGCTTTTCAGCTTGAAAGTCGCAAATTCCTTAGCCGCACGACATCAACTAGGCCTTTCAGCTCAAATGAGAGCTTTTTCAGCTCGAAAGCCACAAGCTTCTTAGTTGTGCAACCTCGACTAGGCTTTTCAGCTCGTTCCTTGAGAATCCAATGACTTATAACCCCCTAAAGGGCCAGTTAAAATCAACATCAAGTGAAAGGATAAGTCCGACAATAAAAGAGAAAGCCAAATTATATTCATAAGTATGGCACGAGTACAAAAGAAAAGAAGGAGGAAACAAAAAAGAGTATAGGCGCCCCTAATTTTTTGCTTCAGGTCAAAAACTTCTTTCTCCAACTGCGCATTCAAGACCCACAAACGAGCATTCTCGACCTTCAGCTAATCTCAATCCTTTTGAGCCTCAGAAAGTTGATTCTTGAGCCTTGATTTCCCCAACGCTAGCTCCAACTCGACAGTTGTAAACCATATCTCACCAGAGGAGGAGTCTGACGACTACAGCAGTAGGTCACTTTGTCGGCACTTTCTTGAGGAAGTGACGACATTCTCATCCAATTCAATTAGAGATGAGTTTGCATCAATAACAAGAGGAGGAAGGCTTGGAGGAGAAACCAGAATGACAGTCAAGTTGGGCCCAATCCCAAATTGGAAGAGGTTTTGAGATGTGACCAGCGCGGGGAAAGGAGTTGCCTCAGCACGGGCAAGACAACCAACCCTGTTGATCTCGTTTGGGGTTATACTGGGGTTATCTACATAATGCAAGCATGGTTAAGACTGCATAAAAATTACCAAGCAAAGAACCCCCTCCAAAGCGAAAGGGGAAGAATAGAGAGTATAACCACTATTCTTTTACCTCTGTCTAGAAGATCCCCCCCAAGAATGAGGAACCCCGAAATGTTCAGACCGCGCCTCAGCAGATTCCTAGGAATCCCCAAAAATAAAGAAATAACGCTGGGTCTATCCCTCTAAAGGGCTAGGGGCATCAAGAACCAATAGGAGGTCAAAGTGCTACCTCTACATGAAGCGGCTAAAACAGGGGGCATGCCAAAATCAAAGTTAAAGAAAGAGAGGAACTCGGCAATAGTTGGAAAATCATCATAACCTTGCAGGTGCCAATAAATAAAGAAGATCATTAGTGTACCCCACCCTTCAAGGGAAAAGGCGCGAAGGGCACAGCCCAAAGAAAGCCAGTATATGCTCAATTGCTGGATGAATAACAAACGGAGACCCATCTCGGACGTGCCTTTTAAAAAAACAAACTTCCCAACAAAGGAGAAGGTTGCAAGGCTCATCAAGCGAAGGAATCCGGATAGCTAGGCCATTAGGAAGATGATATTACCTCCTAACCTCCTTTACCTCCGGGGTAGTTAGGGCTCATGAATCATAGCTTGGGCGCATTTCCTAAACAACGAAGTAGGAGGAGATGTCATGAAACCAAGGAATAAGTGAGACACAAAGGAAACTATAAGGGGTAAGAAGAATGCGAAAAGTAAGCCCTAAGGAGAATTGAGAACACGAAAAGCAAAAATTTCCAAGATAAAGAGAAATGAACGGCATGCAAAGTAGGGGTGCAACTTGGGTTGGGCAACCCGATTTCAACCCGAGCCCAACCCGAAAAAATTAGGACTTGGACAAGGGTTTTTAATATTTGGGTTGACCTTAGGTCAAAAAACCCCAACCTGAATTCAATTTGGGTTGGGCTCGGGTTAAGGCCTCGGGTTCACGAGTTTAACCCGAACCCGACAAAATAAAAAATATATTATATATATATAAAGCATTAACACTGATTTTTTTTATTTTTGTTTTATCATTCTCTGTCTCTCTCGTTCATTTTCATTTTTATTCTAGCATTAGCACTATTAAAAACTTTGATAAAGTTATTGGTTGTTAATTTAAGTGAATATTATGTAATATATGAATTAGGTTTAGAACAACAAGTCTATTTTTGGCTCTATCCGAACTCAACCCGAATTGAACCCGTAAAATAACTTGAAATCAGCCCAAATTATTAACCCGAGCCCTCCCAAATTAAACTCGGACAGTGCTCGGGTTGAGTTTCTCAACCCGAGATAGGGTTAGAGTTAGGGTTAGGGTTAGGATTAGGGTTAGGGTTGAAGATTATATACCTAGAGTTGAGTTAGGGTTGATTGTCCAACCCGTCCAACTAGCCCGAGTTGCACCCCTAATGCAAAGACGAAGGGGCAACTGTTGCACTCCCATAATCATGGCAAGAGTTAATGAAGGTGGCACTCTAGAAAGGTAGGTGAAGTTAGGTGGGAACAAGTAACGATTCATTTATTGCTCTTTCACCTGACCCCGTACACCTCTATCCATGAACGTACTACACTAGTGGAAAAGAACAGCTAAGCAGAGCTGACAAAGTGTCAAGGAGCTTAGATACACAGAGCTCGAAACTACATAGTGCAAGATTATTAAAATCGAGCTTGGCGGCAAAGGAGTAGCTAAAGCAGCAACCATACTCCAATCATGTCAAGACCTCCTTGGAGTAGAGGGTAAGAGGAGGACACAACGAACAACAAGTAATTAGCAACACTGGGAAAAAATTTAAGGTGTTTTTCATTTCAATAAGCAAGAAACTTTGCACTTTACACAAAAAAACAAAAAACAAAAAATAGTAATGTTAAGAGCAACAAAGTTTTCAAGGTTGGTTGGATGACGGGGTAGCACCATAAGGACCGCTCAGAGGAAGGTCGAATCGAGGGTCAAACTGATCTAGGCCAAGTTCAGGAAACTTCTCAATTGCCTAGTCCTCAAAATTGAACTCCCTCCTGGTCTTCTCGATTTCCTTGCACTGTTCCTCGACCAACTAGTGCTCAACAATCAAGGAATCCTTCAGCTCAGCAATCACCGCACGAGACTCATCTACTTAAGCCATCAACACTACCTTGTTGGTTTGATAAGAGATCAGCTCGTCGGTTTGGGCATCAAGTTCCTGCTGTAAAGAGGCCAATTCCTCTGATTAAGTTATCAGCCGTTCTCGCAAAGAGATCTCTGAGGTGGCAGTGGTAATCAACTGCTCGAAAGTCATCTCTAGCTCAAACTCCATAGCCAGACCCCAGCACAGAAGCTCATTGTCCCTCCTTCGAGCCTCCTCAAGCTCAATATCCCTCCTATGGGCCTTTCCCCTCAGATGGTGGATCTCTCTTCCAAGGGTGTAGACACGCGTCGCTGCCTGAGACCAAAATAGAAAGTTAAGTCATTACATGGTTGAAATAAGAAAAGTTGAAGACAGAAGAACATGAACCCTACCTCAAGAAGTGCGTGCAGAGATCTCGATTCCTAGCTTTGAAAGGTTGACTGACAAAGCGGCGGAATTCAATCTGGGGGATCAACTTCATAAGGGCTCGGCTGCTTATAGCTACGGTATCCAGAAGGCTCCCCTCAAGATCCATGATAGGGGCCGGATCAGCTCGACCTGAGCTAGAATCTTCTACGCCAGCAGGAGAGGAACCACGCCAAATCGGCCCTCCCTTTGGACCACATACCACTATCCCCACGGTTGCCTCTTCAGCACTAGACATCGGTGCAGACGTTGGTTTTTCGATAACATTGGGTGGAACCTCGAGTGTAACAGGGAGGCTCGACACTAATGCAGGCGTTAACGTTTAGGCAACACTAGGTGGAACCTTGGGACAGGCAGTTGAGCTCAACGCAGGAGTTGAGGGACAGGTGGGAGATAAGCTATCCTTCAAAAGTTTGGCCCTATTTGCTGGAGATCCTAGGCCCTGAGTTCGCCTCTTTTGGCCTACTTGCTTCACAATCACATCTCTTTCGCTGATCAAATACGCATGGACTAGACAAGAAGGGCGACACAAAGGTAAGCTTGAGAGAACTCAACAGGCAGACATGTCACAACACAAAAGGAATAACAGATACTTACAACTTCTTGGGACTGTAGTCAGCTCGAGATACATAAGCTCTGTATAAGAAAAGGGTAACCGAGCTTGAACTTGATTAACACCAATCAAGATCAGGTACTCACATATAACACAAAAGAATAGGGTCATAAGCCAAGTTAGACCCCGACAAATGTAGCATTGGCAATTAGTAAAAGAAAAACTCACCAAATCAGAAAAACTCACCAAGATGACCATGCCTCCCCCTGATCGTGGGAACTTTAACCGGCGACATCATGTAAGACTCAAACTCCCACCCTGACCTAGATACAAAGAAATATCTCCTTCTCTTCCCCTCAAGTTTGGGAGGAAGGTCAACAATAGGAATCTCTCCCCCCCTCCTTGGGGTGAAGTAGTAGAACTCAGACACTTCTAGCGAGCGAAAGAAGTTAAGAAACTTAGCTAGGGTGGCTTGAGGCTAAGTGAATATCCGCTCCCACAGCACGGGGAACACTAGCAGAATTGCCCACCCAGCAGGAAGTAAAATAGCGGGGCAAAAATTAAAGAAATGAAGGACCTCCCTTGCAAAAGGAGGAATAGGGAATCGAAGCCCCAATTGGAAATGGACTTCAAAGAAACAGATCCAGTCCCTCGTGGAACGATGGTATGGATGATGTTCAGCTACACGGATGGCCACTCCGCTAGGAAAAGATAAACGACTAGCATTTGCTTGAACTTCCTTGCCACCAATCTCGCTAGTTTCAACTTCAGGATAGATCAACTGTTGAGAGTCGTGATAAGAGGTGGGTGTTCGCGCCATGAAAGCAAAATATGAAACAAGTCAAAGAAAGCAAACCTTAAAGAAGAAATCCAGAAAAAAGAAGGAAAAGCTCCAACACTAAGGTAAAAAGTCTATTCACAAAGGGGCTATTTATAGAGTTCGCAAGTAGGAATACATCACATTTGCAGGGTACCATTAATATGCATCAATCATATTTAATGCCATAGACACGTGGCAATCGTAGGGGAAATGAGTGCTACATTTTAGGAGCCATTACCACCACTGATGGCACATTTTCCCAATTGTATGAAACCGTCAAGTTTAGAATACACAAAAAATAAATGAGAAATGTCCAAAATAACCCCAGTAATGCAAGCTAGCTCAGTTAAGGGGGAGCCTTGGTTCCATCAAGATCGGGATAATCCTTAGCAGAACATCATGGTCACAACACGACACTGGGCTCCACCTCGGCAATGTGCCAAATGGGAACATAACCAAAAAAGGCTTTACTGTCCACTAATTTTAAAAGAGACAATACAAACAACACATGCACACAAAGAAGAAAGGCTTAGCAAGCAAGTTAACAAACTGAGTTTTCATTGAACGGGAAGAAAAGTACACAGAAAGGAACGTCCAGTACATAAATTAATTACAATAAAGAAGAAATAGCAACAATCGAAAGTGAAGCTCAAGCGACGGGTTCCCTGCTTTCACCAACCACCTCGGCAACGGTCCCGTTGTCTATACTAGCCATCTTAGCACCCGAATCCTTGTCCTTATATGCTGGCCTAGTAGAGGCTTCTTTATCGGCACCAACTGGCTCAGTTGTAGTCCCTACAGCAGCATTCGTCAGTTTCTTTACCTCTAGCTGGGACATGAAGGAATCTAGGTCGAGATCAAGATACCCGTTCTTGGCCTGGTCTTGGAAATTCATAAATCCCTTCAACATGGCAGTAGCATTCTCTCTGAGCAGCTCAACGACCTTAACCTTCAGAGATGCCACCTCGACCTTTTTTGCTGCCAGCTCATCGTCCCTGGCCTTCAACTAAGCATCCTTAGCCTGGCGGATTATTGGTAGCGGGTGTTCAAGTAGTCATAAATCCTCTTTAACTCGGCCACCTCTGCAGCCAGGACAACCACCTTTCCTTCTACAATGCCTTTCCCCGCCTCTGCAGCCTCGACAACGTTTCTTGCCCTTACTAGCTCCTACTTCTTTGCAGATAGCTGAGTCATGAGCCTATCGTGGTAAAATTCAATCATATTTACGCACTTCAACAACTGACGAAAGAGAAAATAGTTAATACAAGCATGAGACAAAGATGCACCAAAAAGGATATTCCAGTAAAGAGGAAAAATCATAAAGGTACCTTAGCCAAATCCTAGATAGCGTGTTTGGTCTTTCTCTTTAAGGGAACCCGCATGGCCAGCTCGGGGTTCGATGTTGGGACTTGCTTAGCCAGAACGGTCATAACGACCTCGGGATCATGAAGGAACTGTTCCCCTGGGCAGTTGGCTGGGGAAGACTAGGTTCTCCGTTTCCCTCCTTCAGAAAATTTGGTTGGGGGAAGAACAAGAGGCACTTCCGATGGAGTGGGTCGCTTTGAAAAAATCATCTTCTTAGTGGGCTCGAGGGGCATGGAAGAGGAGATGGTACCCTTAAGAGAGGCTAAGTCCTCATGCTTCTATTCTAGGAAAGAGAATGCCCGCCCTTCCTCATCTTCTCAGCATTGGAAAAGGCCG